CAAACCTCACAATGAAGGCCAAAACCCACATTTAAGATGAATGTGATTTAGTGCTTTGCACTACACATGCAGGACGTTTTATAATTAGCTGCAAGTATGATTTTCTGGATTTTCTTAGCTTTGAAGGAGAATGTGTGGCTTTACTGTAGTTTGACCACATTGCTGCAAAATAGATTTGAGATTTTTATTCCTAGCTGTTTGTTCAGCTGTCTCTGCCCTCAGACCTCTGAACAATTTCCTGCTAGGAATATATACTGAGATAGTACAAAGACAGCAGTAACCTTCTAGACTTGCTAACCTGAAACAAAGCCATCATCATTACTGTAATGATGACAGGAAGATTAACATGAAAATTCTAAGGTCATTGTATAGATTTGACGACCCTAACAATATTACAAATAATCTTGAGGATATTCCTCTATGGCTCCTTGTTGCACATGAAAGCAAATTAGATGCCCATCTAATTCCCTTAAAAAAGTCCTTAATCTATTTAATACCAAATAGTGACTTTATCAGGTTTAGACAAAATGAGATCAATGTTGCAGTATATCACTGTTGCCTTATACCTCATGGGTCCTACTGGGCCAGCTTTGCATGATATGCCCAAAGGATGTCAGGTACATGAAGTGCATTAGGAATCAGAGCAGAAAGAAGCCAAATGCAGTGCAATTTATATGGGAAAGATTGACACTTAAATCAGATGTTATGATCAGAAAAGTGAGGCAGTCACCATGCAATCCAATAGAATCCACAAATACATTCCAATTGTGAGTATATCCTTATTAAAGCATTGTGATGTGTCTGATTCTTTTGTATCCACCCCCATCCAAACATCTGGGAAGTACAACATTGAATATGAACTTCTTCTATTAATTTTCTTAACACAATATATTAAACATCTTGCAATGTCTGAAACAGGCCTTGTCATTAATATAAAATTGTACCTAACATGTCTACTTTAATTCCCCTAACTTCTACCATGATTAAAGGACCACTATAGGCACCCAGACCACTTCAGCTTAATGAAGAGGTCTGGGTGCCTGGTCCAGCTATGGTTAACCCATTTTTTTTTATAAACATAGCAGTTTCAGAGAAACTGCTATGTTTATAAATGGGTTAATCCAGCCTCTAAAGCCTCTAGTGGCTGTCTCATTGACAGCTGCTAGAGGCGATTGCGTGCTTCTCACTGTGAAAATCACAGTGAGAAGACGCAAGCGTCCATAGGAAAGCATTATGAATGCTTTCCTATGAGACTGGCTGAATGCGCTCGCAGCTCCTGCCACGCATGCGCATTCAGCCGAAGAGGAGGAGAAGAGGCGGAGAAGAGGAGGAGAGCTCCCCGCCTGGCGCTGGAGAAAGGTGAGTGTATAACCCCTTCCTCTCCACAGAGCCTGGCGAGAGGGGGTCCCTGAGGGTGGGTGAACACTCAGGGCACTATATTGCCAGGAAAACGGGTATGTTTTCCTGGCACTATAGTGGTCCTTTAATAATTGCAATGCAGATTAAGAGAGAATTAGAGGTTCTACCGCAACAATTATTTCTATGGAGTCATCGATAGAAGTCATTATTTAATAAAGAAAAAGACATGTGCTGGGGTACACACGTCATACCAGCATCATCCTTTCACAAAATACCATTTCTGGCATCTTTTTTTACGCAGGACTTCCTTCTAGTGTCATAATGATGCTTTATGCTTTCCTGGCATTTATAATGATACGAGACATACACTACCGAACCAATATCTCCATAATAACGCCATCAAGAACGACCAGTTTATAAGTCATTGGCGTCGCTCTGTTGACGTAAGATGCTAGGGCTTTATAAACTTCACCATTATGAGATCAGTGCCATGTCATGGTCTCTAGTAGCATTGTATATATTTTTTAATTATTTTTGTTGTGCATGGAAAGTACAAAGAAGCAAACAATGCCAAGCATTCTATATTTTATTTGCTGTTCTGTTTTTTTTACTTTTATATTAACTATCCTGACCTTTCCTATCCTGATTTTGGCCTGTTTACCAATCCTCTCGTTATTATGCACTGCTTTGACCTCAGCTTACTCTCTGACCATTCTATATCTGCTTTATGCATGAAGCAGAGCCATCTCTAAGAACCGGTAATAACGTGCTCTCCTTGTGCTGTCTTACATATGCGTGTTGGGACTCTGTACCTTCCTGACAGCATGTTATTTGCTGCACTTACCCATCTGAATAGTGCAGAGAAAATAAAGTATGCTGTTAAATAGTATAATTATTCTGAGTACATGTCTGATATTCTAACTCTCAAAGTCTGAAGCTGCACATATGCAATTTTCCTTTATTGATTGAAAAAAACAGCAAGATTTTAAGTCAGGTAAGGTCACAATGATCCTGTATTCATTAATAGGTTTCTTTTTGACAAAAATGAAAAATAAAATAACATTTTTGAATGTGCTTTATTTTGTTGTTTTGCTTCCCTAAAGCAGTTGCATAGTCTGCTCAGACTCTTCCCCAATCCAAACTCCTAAGGGGCAATTTACTAGATGCTGTAAACGCCAGTGCAAATTATAAAATAAGCTATACTCAAAAAAAGACTATGATTTTTTTTTTTTTTTTTTATTGGTGCTAGTGCAATGCCAGGATAAATATAGCATTAATTATATCCACAAGTATACTTTGCCACTGTTTGTCGCCATAACGATGCTATAAAGATGCCATTAAAAAAAAAAAAAAAACATATCTGGGGTATATGAGGACCCACTGTAGATCCAAAAAAAGCTGAGCAATTTGATCTGGATCATAGTTACACCATAGCCTGAGAGGGAGGCTTTCTCTGCCCCCACCACCCTTCACTCTGCATCACCGGGGAAATGGCTAGTTCTAGTAAATGGTGGAAACTATACTTAATGTGACTCCTGCTACACTTTTAACCCTTGCCATAGCTTTGCGATAATTTTATATCAATTAAAACTTTTTCAGCTATTTTTACTTATTAGCTATATCTAACTAACATACCGTACTTACCATTTTAAAGGGGTACTAAAATATAGTATATTATATTAGAAAGGTCGAAACGTTGATCCTTGGAACTATGTGTTTTGCACAATAAATAAAGTTTAATTTTCAAATCCAGGAATGTACCTCATAACATTTAAAATTACCATAGTAAGGAAGAGTGCCAAACTATAACTTTTATATATATATATATGTGTATATATATATATATATATATATAAAAGTCAACAAGAAGAAAGGCTGCTCTCCGGATTTAAAACAAAAAAATGTATTCAAACAATATTAAAAACCACGACCAACGTTTCGGTCCCCGCTCGGGACCTTCCTCAGGGTCAAAAATAGAACAACAAGACAGGCCTGTCTTGTTGTTCTATTTTTGACCCTGAGGAAGGTCCCGAGCGGGGACCGAAACGTTGGTCGTGGTTTTTAATATTGTTTGAATAAATTTTTTTGTTTTAAATCCGGAGCGCAGCCTTTCTTCTTGTTGACTTTTACATGCTTTGGAGCTCTGGTGGTGCGCCCAGTATTGGACCATATTGCAAGCGTGAGTGCAGGGGATATTTCTATTTTTATATATATATATATATATATAAAATGATGACAGGAAGATTAACATGAAAATTCTAATGTCAATGTATAGATTTGACGACCCTGACAATCTCTACATACATGAAAAAACATTTAAATTCTTAAAACAAAATTGCATACCTTTATATAACATTTATGGCATGTTAAAGGACCACTATAGTGCCAGGAAAACATACTCGTTTTCCTGGCACTATAGTGCCCTGAGGGTGCCCCCACCCTCAGGGACCCCCTCCCGCCCGGCTCTGGAAGGGGAAAGGGGTAAAAACTTACCTTTTTCCAGCGCTGGGCGGGGAGCTCTCTGCCTCCTCCCTCCTCCGATCCTCCCCGTGCGGCTGAATGCGCACGCGCGGCAAGAGCTGCGCGCGCATTCAGCCCGTCACATAGGAAAGCATTTACAATGCTTTCCTATGGACGCTTGCGTGCTCTCACTGCGAAAATCACAGTGAGAAGCACGCAAGCGCCTCTAGCGGCTGTCAATGAGACAGCCACTAGAGGATTTGGAGGCTGGCTTAACCCATTGATAAACATAGCAGTTTCTCTGAAACTGCTATGTTTTAAAAAAAATGGGTTAACCCTAGAAGGACCTGGCACCCAGACCACTTCATTAAGCTGAAGTGGTCTGGGTGCCTAGAGTGGTCCTTTAAGCATTTGTCTTTACTAAATTGTTCAGTGTGCTAGAATCTAGCTTCTGCATTTTCTATTAGAACTCAGTGCTATGAATCATGCTCTTTCTGTCATATTTGATTTTTTTGACATTGTCATTGTTGATAGAACTATTTTAGATTGTACGTAACCATATAAATAGTAAGTAATTTAGTTCGAAACAAGTTATTTAATTGCATGGTGACAAAGCAAAGCCACATGCTTCATTAAGAAGTGCTGAATTCTAATACTTTAATTGGTTCCTTGCAGGATTGTAAGCATATAATGGAATCATTAAAAATGTCCCAACAAGTAAATAATGTAGTGAGATGATAAAAGAAAAATCATGGAAAGCTTAATGTTTTCATAAAGGTTTGTTTTGATTGGACAAACTACGTATGCACTTCTCGTCTCAATGCTTCTCAAAGAAAAGTATTGATTTGGATGAGAAGATGAAGAGGAGACTAAACAAACAATACAAAGTCCCAGTATGTGAAACAAATAGATACCACCACACTCTGAAACACCTGTGTGATTACCTCTCTATTCACACATAAAGCCAAATATATACATACAAATTAGGTTGGAGTGTAGGGTGGACCTTGGTTGGAGGTATCATAGACAGCTGAAAATATATAAAAGGACAAAACCTAGTGCAATATGATATATATACACATATAGTAATCAGTTAGATGTTGTACTCACAAGTACAGAGCCAACAACGTTAGGCTCAATATGCAGGCTGGTGGGAATGTTACGAGGGATCCCACTCCCTAGCAGAGCAGAATGAGGTTACTGGCCGGAGATCATCCAATCAATAATTGTATTTACTGCTTGTTATTTTATGTTCTAAATAAATTAGCTTTTTTACACCATCTTATGTCTTTGGACATTATTAATTGGATGATCTCCGACCAGTAACCTCATTCTGCTCTGCTAGGGAGTGGGATCCCTCGTAACATTCCCACCAGCCTGCATATTGAGCCTAACGTTGTTGGCTCTGTACTTGTGAGTACAACATCTAACTGATTACTATATGTGTATATATATCATATTGCACTAGGTTTTGTCCTTTTATATATTTTCAGCTGTCTATGATACCTCCAACCAAGGTCCACCCTACACTCCAACCTAATTTGTATGTATATATGAAAAGGAGACTGCCTGTGGAACTGTGCTTCTTTAAGTTTTGTTAGTATACCCTTTAATCAATGCATCCAACACTGCACAATATACTGGAATTATTTAAAAACCCAAATGATAATTAATTATACTGATAATAGTAAACACCACTACCTTTCTGTAATACAAGCTGGTACAGCTCAGGGCTTATAAACCAGATGATGTTGACAAGGCTTAAGCAGGCATTGTGGACTTTACATTTCAATAGTCCCCAGCTTCCAAACATTTGAATGGTCTAGGGCTTATTCTGTGATAATGAGAAATGATTCATAAACCCTGTGGCCATATCATAAGTACTTCATTATTTCAAAGCCTGTTTAATTTAAAGAAATGGCCATGTTATCAGATGAATTCAAAATCTTAACCTCACTTTACTCTGATTAATTATTCATTTTACAAACACATATGTTATAATTATGGATAAACCCTGATATTGATCTAACAAGTAATTGAGATATGTATCGGGAATTAATAAAACGGAATGCTTTGACTTTTTGTTTTATGATTAAAGTTAACCTTAAACAGAAACCTTCTTACCTTCAAATTATGGGTATCAAATATTGAAATGACTCATAGGGTTATTCACGTAAATTTAAAATGTCGGAAATTCAAAGTAAATTAAAAGTGAATTTCAAATTGCAGGCCAAACTAGATGAATTGGACGTATAGCTGACTTGGATAATATTTTCAGATATTTTGGCCTTAAATGATTAATTCACTTCAAATGCACTTTGAATTTTCAAAAGTTCTAATTTAAAGGGACACTCCAGGCCGCCAGACCACTTCTTCCCATTGGAGCGGTCTGGGTGCCAACTCCCACCACCATTAACTCTGCAAGTGTAATTATTGCAGTTTTTATAAACAGCAGACAGCCACTAGAGGGGCTTCCGGGTTCTTAAAAAACTAAAAGTGTTTTAAACGACGCTGGACATCCTCACGCTATGCATTAGGTCCTCCAGCGTCGCCAGAATCCCCATAGGAAAGCATTGAATGATGCTTTCCTATGGGGAGGTCTAATGAGCGAGCATGGCCATTGCCGCGCATGTGCATTAGGTCTCCCCGTCGGCTGACGTCCAGCGGCTGAGGAGCGTGGGCGAAGCCTAACCCAGCGCCAAGGGACATCGGCGCTGGATTCAGGTAAGTAACTGAAGGGGTGGAGGTGGGAGGTACTGCAGGATTCTGCAGTGCAAGGAAAACTGATTTGTTTTCCTGGCACTGGAGATTCCCTTAAAGAGAGTTTTTGAAACCTGTATCAGTAAGATGTCCTGGGAATGTAGTCTAAAGTAGGAGGTGCTGGGAAATGTAATTTGAAGTAAGATATCCTAGGGCATAGGTGCCCAAAAGGTAGATCCCCAGATGTTTTAAAACTACAGCTCCCGTGATGCTTGTCATTGGAAAAGAAATTCTAAATGCATGCAAAGCATCATGGGAGTTTTATTTCTACAACATCTGGAGGTCTACCTTTTGGGCACCCCTTCCATAGAGTGTGTCTTCCAAAACAGAATGTAATGGGGAACATAGTCTAAAGTAGGGGTTTCTGGGGAATGTAGTCTGAAATAATGTGTCCTTGGGAATGTAGTTTGAAGTTGAGGGTTGTAGATGGAAATGATAGTTCTTATTGTTGTTTCATTGACTCTCGATTGTGTTATGCCTTCTACAAATATTTAGAGTTGTAGAAGATAATTGTAGTAATGCATTTGTTTCACACACTATAAGACTGCATGTCCAATAGGAGTATCTGTGTTATTTAAATCTCTAGCAATTTTAAATATGGAGGCATCCTGGTGATATATCTTCTTGGCAGTTTATCAATGAACAGAGTGTTTTGCTGAAAGGTTTAGTATTGCTATTTGCCGAAAGGTCCAATATTGCTACCACTATTTTAGATATTTTTTCCTTTGGAGACATGATTTATTTTAGTTATTTTATTGATTTTTACAGATTTAATTATTTTATGCGATTTTTAAAAATCTTTTATTTTCACTACTTTGTGATGCTTTTTATTTTTTTGCCCAAATTGCCTTTTTTTTTGTACATTTATGATATTTATAGATAGTTATTGGGTCATTTATCAGGTGAAGCCCTTGTGGCTTATGATTACTGTTTTTTTGGGGGGGTTTTTTTTGACTGATGACCGAAAGGTACCAACCAGCAAAACTACTTCACTTATATTATCCTGGCTAATGTAATTTGAGGCTGGGGGTTTTGAGGAATGCAGTTTGAGGTTGGGGGTCCTTGCAAATCTAGTCTAAGCTACGGGTTTCTGGGGAAATGAGAGTGACGTATAAAGTAGTAAAACTAACATATTAGTTATTCCAGGTAGAAATCCATTACCTGCTTTTTTACGCAATATCCCAGCAAACTGCACATAACATCCCAATTGCCATTATTTTTACTTTTCATGTTTGTTTATCACCCACATAGGTCTGGCTTATCACCTTAGAATGTCAGATTTAAACTGTATTGGCTGGATCATAACAGGAACGAACAGGCAAAGGTGTTGTTTTTAAAGGTCTTAACTAGTATAGTTTAGTTTACTTAATAAGTATAGCAAACCATTCCAGTACATTAGGCTCTGTCACTGGGCACTATTAAATGATATAATGCATGGAATCTATATATTTTTCACATGATGTTATGTTAGAATCTATATAATGAATGAAAAATAACCTTCATAAATTAAATTAGAATGTATATCACTTAATAATCACACAAATTAACATCCATATCATTAAGGACTGAAAAACATTAGAACCTACAATGAAAGTACATAAATTAACGTACAATGAATAAATGAATGATATAAACCTACATAATTAATTAAATACACTCCAAACTAGATTATATAAAAAACAAATTATATAAATCAGAAAGTATACCTTAAATAGATGAGATTACAAACCTACATCATCAAGAAATGATTATTATTATTATTTATATAGCGCCAACAAATAATGTACACTAGGTCCATTTTCTATTTTCATGTAGGATGGGACGTCTGTGGAGTCCTCGCTATTGATCTAAGAGGCACCTAACAAGAAAAAAATCTAACTTTTCCCCTTTAAACACAAACAAGATTATTTACCAAAGTGATCATTTAAAGTGAATTCAAAGTGAAATTCTAATTTAAGGCTAAAGTAACAAAATTAGAAAAATTCTCCAAGCCATTTGTACTTTCAGTTTAGCTACTTTGGCCTAAAAACTAAAATTCACTTTAGAATTCTCATTTTGATCAACGGGTATGTGTTATAACCGGCCCTGACTGTTTGAACCCTTTCGGAATGCAGTATAAAAGATATATTCCTTTCAGTTAGATAAACTATCCAGATTCCTCTTTAGTGGGCTGCAGTCATGCAAAGTGTAAACAGCAGGGATTGCAGTAAATTCAATCCCATCCTGCGGCTTGTGTTTCTTTAAAAGCAAGTATTTCTAAATGTGAAATTACTGAGCAAGTATAAGGTGTACTATGCACTGTCAGCTGCTTTGATTATCTGTTATTAATTTGCTGAAACTGTGCATATTATTCGAGAAACTGTGTAAGCTTTTACACACTTGAACGCTCAAGTAAATGTTGGCTTTAGTCATGCCATTGCTAAATCAAATATCTATTCAGAGCAGACAAGGCTGAGAGGTATTAAGAAAGACAAGGAAATTATAAAGGCTATTACATGTCCGCGGGGAGGAATATTGTGAGTGGCAGCTGTGCTTTAGACCTTTCCCCATTATTATATCCACATCTTCCATCACCTGTTGCAGTCAGCCATGTATTCAGTCAGTTTTGCTCAAAGTAGCACAATTGTCATAAACTGTTTATGCACCACTACAGTGTACTTTAAAATAGCCTTTGTTTTATGTTGATCATTTTTAAATCTTGTTTTTAGTTCTTTAATTAATTTTTTTGTTGTGCAGGTGTTGGGAAAACAACATATCTGTCTCTACAGTAATAAGGGTTCTGCAGTTTGTCTTTCTTATTAATTGATAGAAGTCTTGGGTGAAGCTCTTGAGAGCAGCTGTGCACTCTATGGAAGGGGTGCCCAAAAGGTAGACCTCCAGATGTTGTAGAAATAAAACTCCCATGATGCTTTGCATGCATTTAGAATTTCTTTTCCAATGACAAGCATCACGGGAGCTGTAGTTTTAACTTGTGATGTAATTTGAAAATGGGTGTCTCAAAACTCGCCTTCAGTGTCCCTCTATACCCCTCCAGGCCTACATGAATTTTTGGGCGATGGTCTGGTGCGTCATTTGTGCAACATCATATTTGGACTTTCAGACATTGCAATTATGGCACTAAACAAAACGTGTGAACACTTCTTATTTAAACCATTACCATATACAAATCATTGGCAGGTTATGACTTCTGTTTTGGTATCCGAGATTGCATTTTTTTTTACACTTGATTAATATATTGATGTCTGACCTGGCTAGCCCTTAATCTCGAGTTCACTTTTTCTCTGCCTGTTTTGCCTATCTTGGCACAGCATTCAGCCCAAGAGCTCAAAGGGCAGGTAATATGCATCTTTCCTGTCTATTCCACACTCTGGATACATGTTAAAATGGATCTGTCACCATCTCGGGTCTTTGTATAATTTGGTGACATCGGAGATATCCCTGGGAGACGCCACCCCCTTCAGCTCCTGACACTTCAGCTTCCAGGTGCAGATGCCCGTGCTGTAGGTCTATGGGGGATCCAGTGGAATTCTCCATAGAAAGAACTTCTTATTCTTAGAGCCGTCACTGTTGATGGCTCGGTAA